AAAAAAAATAAAAAACCCAGTGGTGGTCAAATACCACCAAAAGAAAGCTCTGTTTGTGTGAAAAAAATGATATAAATTTTATTTGGGTACAGCATTGCATGGCCACGCAATTATCAGGTAAAGTAGCACAGTGCTAAATAGCATAAAATGGCCCGATCATGAAGGGGGTAAAACCTTCTGCAGCTCAAATGGTTAAAATGTTATTAAATTTAAAATTAATAAGCAGTAAAGGCATGCATGTTAACTGGCCATGTACATTAAAGCTGTGTTTCTTTGCCCCATGTAACAATGGCTTATTGAATGCCCATACTGTGACTGCCTTAGATAGTATGCAGTTACTGTTGAACTGACAAGTCAAGAAGGGCCACCCATGGCTCTAGTTGTGGACAACAGGCATTATTTTTAATGCATGTCTCTTCAGCAATACCGAAGCTGACTACTCGCCAATGCATGTGTGGGATTGACGACATATCAATGAAAGAGGCCACTGTTCGAAACCCGAAAGCTGCCTGCTAGAAGATATCAGTGGGCAGCATAGAGTTCCAGGATAGTGCTTTGCTGGAGCCAAGGTGAGCATAGTTCCACTTTAATTTAACAAAAAAAGATATGAAAACTTTCTAAAAAATCTCTACAATCTACACCTAAATATGAATCTGAATGTAAAAAAAGTACATGCTTCTAATATATACAGTAATGGAAAGCTTGCTGAAAACCTGATATAATCAAACTTAGCAGGAAATATCTTAAGAAGCTTGATTAAAAATACATGGACAGACGGACTGAGGCTGAGCTCCCGCGAAGAATCCTGTAATACTTCTGATCCTGAGGCACCCGCAACCTCTGACCCACACTGTACCTAGCATTCCTGTGACCCATTTTACGGCTCCATCCCAATGTCTAAATGTTGTAAAGATGAGGGAGGACCAAGCAGCATGACTCTGCAAGATGGCACCTGCTCCCTTCCACAGCCACAACGCCCAGCCAGGGATAGAGCAAAGGACATTGATGACAAGCTGGAGAAGTATGCGCACACCCCATCCAGGACTCGGACTTCTCAAACAGTGAGGCATTCTGCAGGAGAGTCTGAGCAGCATCAGCCTGCCTCTCATTCCCCACGGGATGCTGCAGAAGGAGGGGTGACTGAACCGAAGGCCATGTGGAGTGCTGAGAGGAATGAAGAAAATCAGGTCAGCTCTGCACAGATTACTGACCCACCAACACTGGCAGATGTTTTTGTGGCAGTGCAGACATGTAATGTCTCACTGCATGCCCTGTCCAGTCAAGTGCTTGGCATCAAGGAGGCTATTGCCTTGGTTTGGCAGGATATACAAAAAATTGGTGAACAAACAACAACTTTAGAGGTGAGGGTGAACTCTATTGATGATGATCTGGCTCCCATGAAGGCAGATATATAGGCCACAAGGTCAAACGTCATTCACCATGAAAATAGGTTGGAGGATATGGAAAACAGACAACGCAGAAATAATATTTGTATTCTGGGGCTGCCTGAATGAGCAGAGGTCAAGCAACCAGCTGAGTTAATTGAACACTGGCTATTGGAGATCTTTGGGAAGGATAGCCTTACTGCCCTGTTCACTGTTGAAAGAGCTCACAGGATTCCCGCTAGGCCCTTGCCTCCATGCAACCCTGCTCGCCCATTCATTCTGAAATTGTTGAACTACAAGGACAGAGACAAAATCCTCATCTTCGCACGTCAGAGAGGAAATATTGACTGTCAAGGTTCTTAAATCTCTTTTTCAACAAATTCTCTACGAAAGTTCAAAAACAAAGGGCAAAATACCAAGATGTGAAAAAACGCCTTTGGGCACTTCAATTATCATGTGCTATGTTGTACCCGGCCAAACACAGGGTTGTGTATGGCAACAAACACAGTACTTTGATACTCCATCTGCTGCCTGCTCTTGGTTAGATCGCAATGAACAGCGACTGCGTAATGCTAACAAGTGATGTGCCTATCCTGATAAAGATGTGCTTTCTATGTGCCTTAAATATCCTGTTAGGTGGGTGGTGGACCCCCATTATATTACCTCATCAGGTTTTTGGAATATTATTATTATTATACAGGATTTATATAGCGCCAACAGTTTGCTCAGCGCTTTACAATATAACGGGAGATAATATGTCACCAAAGTGCTCATGCATTCCTGGTTTCCAAGCTACTGGAGGTGCCCCCAGTAGTATCCCTGAGGGGAATTTATGGTTGCTTGTTAACATTGACAGTTTCAATGTTTTTCTTTTGGAACACACGTTGACCTTTTGACATCTTCGAGCAGCTGAAGCTGGTTCTCCATGTGCTGCAATTGTGCCGCATGCTCCGGATTACCTAGGTGCTTTCCTCTTTCAATTCGGGTCTATTCTTTATGGATGGCACCTGGGGTCTTCTTCTACATCTACCCAGCATAATGTGTCTCGAGACTTGTGTGGTATTTAACAGTCGCAACAATTTCAGCAACGTATACTGAGATGGCTGTCCACTTGATTTTGATTTCCTGGAATGTTATAGACTGCATGATTCTTGTAAAAAGCAGGCTGTGTTGAGTGCTCTGTTGTCCTACGATCCAATCATAATCTGTTTACAGGAGACACATGCTGACTGGTGGATGATCAGTCTTTTTAGCAAATCTCTGTTTATATTTCAGTATCACTCCACTCATTCTACCTACGCGAGGGGAGCTAGTATTCTGGTTAAGTCCTCGGCTTTCTTCTGTCTAAGAGCTGAGGTGGATTCTCAGGGTAGATATGTCTTCCTGTTGTGTATCTTAGAAAACTAGACATATGTACTGGCAAATATCTATGTGTTGTCTTATATCAATTGGAGGATGGATGACAAGTGTATTTATAAATGTATTTTCCCGCAGCAACTAGTCCAACAGTTCTTTTCCAGAGAGATGCATTTAATCAGCTCAGTGACAATCCATAAAACAGAGATACAGACAAGGCAGATGAAAGGGTACCCAGAATACTCATGCAATCATCAGAAAACCTCATAGGACCCACTTTCTCCTGTCACCACTTAACCAAAAGAACCTTCCCTAATATACACATTCTCCCAATTCAGTAAAATGGCAAGCACTCTGATTGGCCACTTTTACTAGCCCCTTTGATCTTCTGGGTGACGGGTAATACCGTTTGGGCTTGGACAGATGCAGTTATAAATTATAATCAAAGTTGTCTAGATATTTCCTAAACTGCATTCTTTTACCATTAGATAAACAAGAATGCTATTTACCATACTTAACCTCCCTAGCGGTCTGATTATGTCTATATTTCTGTGCTCAAAGCGGTAAATTTTTTTGCATTGAAATATGTATTTTTTTATTGTAGGCCTTTAATTTTTAGGAATAACTCACTGAAATCTGTCCGAACAAGAGTCTAGTAAACATCCCGGGTATGATAAAATTTTAAACACGAAATTATAAATTATAATTTAATAAATAATCATAAAAAAATAATAATTTAATAATAATAATAAAAAAAATGTATTCAATAATATAATCAAACCCAAAACACTGAAATTTGAAATATAGCGCCAAGTTCGCACATCACTGAGCAAAGTCGCAAAATAGTTTTCAGTGTCTGATGACGAATTCCCCCACAAATCATTATCACTCAATTCTGCAAGTGGTTCTAATTTACTATCACTGTTCTCTAGCTGGTCAAAAACCGATTTTGACCTAAAGGGATGCTTTTGGATGCCATGGATGTTTCTCAGTTTCCAGGCAGAAAGAACAGTAAAAATGCAGGCAGGGCACAGAACAAAGCACTAGGGACAAAATGTACGTGAAATGCTTTGATACAGTAATGTTTTACTATGTGATTTTAGTGTATTTAGTGAATGTCACTTTTTGTCATTTTTCCGCCAGTTACGTCCCCGTACGTCCTGACGTCGCAGGGGACGGAACCCAGAAGACAGATGCCGGCATCTGCCAGAGGACATTACAGGGGACACTGCAGGAGGGACATCCCAGGAGCTCAGGACAAGGAAAGTGAAAAGAGATCCTGGAGCAGCGCCGCGTGGTATTCCCGAGTGTAGCTCCGGGTTACCGCTTTTGGTACTGAAACTTTACCCCGAGCTACACTCGGGAATACCACCAGGGAGACTACTACACCTTTTCATGTTATTAGATAGTAGATACCGGCCAAGTCCTTTCAAGTCTGACTGAGCAATCTGTATTTTATCACTCTTGTAAGTTTGAAAAATTACCTCCTTTGAAATGTACCAAGTTGGCCCCCAAGTGCAATGGTGATCTTGCATAAAATTAACATAGCAAAGACTCCTTGGCTATGCTTTTGTTGTGTAAAATACATCTAGCCCAGTCCTATGTTGGCCTGTTCAATAACGTGAGAATACTATATATATATATAGATATATATAGATATATATATCTATATATATACATATATATAAAATGACAATATCCTACACTATGTACCACCACCATACAAAAATTAGGTTCTTCGTGCATTGTCTCACCTTATGGCGCAATGCCCTACTGTCCCTGTTGTGGCTGTTGGAGACTTTAACCACTAGCCTACAGGGCACTTTTACCCCCTTCCTGCCCAGGCCAATTTCCAGCTTTCAGCGCTGTTGCACTTTGAATGACAATTGCTCAGTCTTGCAACACTGTACCCATATGAAATTTTTATCATTTTTTGTGACAGATAGAGCTTTATTTTGGTAGTATTTAACCACCTCTGGGTTCTTTATTTTTTCTTAAACAAACCAAAAACCACTGAAAAATTAAAAAAAAAATGTTTTTTCTTACTTTTTGTTATAAAATGTTGTAAATAAGTGATTTTTCTCCTTCACTGTTGTGCGCTAATGAGGCTGCAGTGATGGGCACTGATAGGCTGCACTGATGGACACTGATAGGTGGCACTGATGGGCACTGATGAGGAGGCACTGGTAGGTGCCACTGATGGGCATTGACAGGCATCACTGATGGACACTGAAAGGCAGCACTCATATATGGCATATAGGTGGCACTGATAGGTGGCACTGACTGGCATTGATAGGCAGCACTGACTGGAACTGTTAGGTGGCACTGACTGGCACTGTTAGGTGGCACTAATAGGCAACACTGACGGGCATTGATGGGTGGCACTGACTGGCACTGATAGGTGGCACTGACTGGCACTGATGGGTGACACTGAAAGGAAGTGCAGATGGGCACTGATATGTGGCATTGATGTGGCACTGATGGGCACTGAAATGTGGCACTGATGTGGCACTGGCAGGTGGCATGGATGAGCACTGACAGCTGGCACTGATGGACACTGATAGGTGGCGCTGCTGGGGCTACACAGATCATCAGGGCACACTGATCATCAGTGCTCTGATGATCTGTGTACATGTCCCCTCCGAGGAATGCTGATTTACCGGCTCTCCTCTCCGCACGAGCTGTCAGCGTGACAGCTCGAGAGGAGAGAAATGCCGATAACCGGCATTTCCCTGTTTACATGTGATCAGCTCTGATTGGACACAGCTGATCACATGACCGATCCGACATCTTTGGCTCTTTCTGTGGATCGGTGATCCGCTATGTCTGAGGGACACAGTGCACCGCCAATGCGCGCTCCGAGAGCCGCGCATGCACGGTGAGAATGGGAGGATGTCATATGACATCCTCCCAGAATGAAAGAACCACCTTGCGCCCTTGGTTAATAATGTTTTAAATCTGACAATGGATAGATAGGCACAGATTGTGAGTGGTGACATACCTGTAATTCACCAGTTTTGCCAGGCAACTGGGAGAGCTGGGATTGTATGATGTATGGCGGGAACAACATCCTCATGAGTGTGCATACTCTTGCTGTTCTAGCTCTTATCAATTCCTATCTTGCATTGATTTATCATTATGTACATAAGTAGTTCCATGGATTGAGTCCTCTGCTTATGGTCATCGAGGCTTGTCTGACCATTCCCCTTTGATCCTTAAGTTTGCCAAGCAGGGGGTGAGGGGGCTCATTCCCTGGAAGGTACACCCCTTCTGGCATAATTATGAATTCTAATGTGGTAATGCAGCATCTTACTTTTTTTTTAGTCTGAACACTGGCTCTGCTTCTCAGTTGGTGATCTGGGACACCTTAAAAGCATATCTCAGAGGTGTCTTTATAAAGGACATCTCTAGAGTTAAATCCACCAGTAGGCAGTGGGAGGAGGGGCTGGGGTGTCCGTTATCTGCCATGGCAGTGGAACCACTTGCGATTGCAGTCAGACATTATTGGGTACCAGGGAAGACAAAATTAGCCTTTATGCTGATGATACTTTATTATGCTTAGGTGACACAGAACAATCTCTGATTACCCTTATGGAATTGATCTATTTCTGTCAGGAATGGACTCAGCACTGGTGGTGGGACTCACCTGCCGTGTGGGCTGCAGTACCAGGGCTGACCAGCGGGTGCTCTCAGCAGCCAGAAGCTCACTCCTGTAGTCAGCCAACACCTCGGGCTGATTGCAGGAAGTGTATTTAAGGAATGACCAGGCCTGTGATCAGGGCCTTGGTGTATGTTTCCCATGAGCCCCTGTACCTGGTATCCTGTGTTCCTGCCTCGTTGCTGACCCTGCTTTGATCCTGACCTCTGCTGACCATCTCCTGTTGAACCCCTGGCTTGCCTGACCATCCTCCTGCCTGATCCTTGGTACCGTGCTGCCCGCTACCTGCTGAACCTGGCTTGTGACCCCGACCATTCTCTGCTTGCTCCTCCTGTACCACGCTGCCCGCACGATACCGACCCGGTCTGTCTGACTACGCTTACTTCACCCGACGATCCATCCATCCCACACGGATAACCTTTAGTAAGTCTGCCTGCCTCTTCCCATCAGACTCCTTTCCTGCACTCCCCTGCCAGTACTCTCTACCACAGCCGGACGCACTCAGGGGTTGCGACCTGGATCCAGTCCGCACCAAGTCCATCCCCACCATCAGGGGCCCTGGTGAATAGCAGGCTGGGACTTAGACCCCGCGCCCTGAGGAAATCCGTGCTGTGGGCTGCTAGAGACACTGCCAGGCCGCACCTGACAGTACCTTACGGCCTGCCTGACCATTCCACCTCTCCAGCCTGACTATGCCTGTGTTCCTGAAGCCTGCTACTTTTCTGTGTCAGTCCACACATTTCTGGTCATACCCGGATCCCTAACAATTTCTTTGGAAGAGTCGTGGGCTTTAGAATCAATTGGGACAAATCTATTTTGCTTACATTAGACCTATTAAACAAAGAGCTTCCCCCTGCTGCCTCTAAAATTAACGTTGTTAAATACTTAGGAGTTTTCATTCATCCAGTAGTGTCTAGATACTTGGAGTTGAATTTGTGCCCTCTGTTAGTTAAATTTAAACAAGTTCGCTTGCTGGTGTAAGCTCTCCCTAATGGTAGTTGGCGGTTTTAACTTAATTAAAATGATCTGGGCCCCTCAATTACTATATATCCTGCATAATTCTCCCACTTGGGTATCACAAAAATGGTACACACAGGTTGATACTCTATTGCGAGAACTTATTTTGAAAAATAAATCTCCCTGAATTAAACTATCCACATTTCAACTGGGAAAGGATGCTGGTGGATTGGCCATCCCACATCCCAAAATTAATTTTTTTGCTGCTCAGCTTCAGCATCTTCTGGGATGGGATACCCTTGATTTTGCACACACTATTCAGGTGATTTTACTGTCTATTAGGTCTGAATACTCTTTGCTTTCCTAGATGGAAGCTGAAATGTTTGCATCATCCCAACACTCTCCGACACTGTTTCTTTTCCATCAGTTATGGACTTCTGTTAATAAAATAATGAAATGGGAGGGTTTTACTGATAGTACCTCACTCTGGAGTAACTTGCTCCTACCGGAGGTCAACAAATTTAAAGGTTTTGGGATGTGGCAGGTAAGGGGGGTGAGGTATCTATCTCAACTGTATGATGACTATGCCTTGAAGACATTCCAGGACCTTCAAATGGAATTTTGTCTCCTGACACAGTTTTTTTCAATACTTACAGTTGCAACATGCCCTAACTACCCAGGCTCATATATATAATAAAAAAAACACTCTTACAGTTACTTAATTAAACCGATTCTAAAAAAGGTCTAATTTCTCAATTATATGGGACTCTGCTGATTGAGATACACTCACGCACATCTATCCCAGCTAGATGGGGATGGGAGGAAGATTTAGGACCACTGTCAGAGGAGCTATGGGAACAGGCCTTGCAATCCCTCTGTATAGTGTCTTTGTCACCAACGCAGAGACTCACCCAACTCTTCATACTTCATAGGGTTTATCATACTCCAGTTAAATTGTATAGATGGAATCGTAGAGACACAGATTTGTGTCCTAGATGTGACAGAGGTCCGGTGGATCTTATTCATATGCTATGGAGATGCCCGAAACTTCATAGATATTGGCAAGATATTGTTTCTCTCATATCCTCCATTTATCAGGTTACCTTGTCAGCAGAACCTAAAATATGTCTTCTTAATACAGGTGAAACTCAAAAAATTAGAATATACTGCAAAAGTTCATTTATTTCAGTAATGCAACTTAAAAGGTGAAACTAATATATGAGATAGACTCATTACATGAAAAGCAAGATAGTTCAAGCCGTGATTTGTCATAATTGTGATGATTATGGCTTACAGCTCATGAAAACCCCAAATCCACAATCTCAGAAAAATTAGAGAATATTACATGCAATCAATAAAACAAAGATTGTATGTAGAATAATATCGGACCTCTGGAAAGTATAAGCATGCATATGTACTCAGTACTTGATTTGGGCCCCTTTTGCAGCAATTACTGCCTCAATGCGGCGTGGCATAGAAGCTATCAGCCTGTGGCACTGCTGAGGTGTTATGGAAGACCAGAATGCTTCAATAGCGGTCTTCAGCTCTTCTGCATTGTTCGGTCTCATGTCTCTAATCTTTCTCTTGGCAATGCCCCATAGATTCTCTATGAGGTTCAGCTCAGGCGAGTTTGCTGGCCAATCAAGCACAGTAATCCCACGGTCATTGAACCAGGTTTTGGTGCTTTTGGCAGTGTGGGCAGGTGCCAAGTCCTGCTGGAAAATGAAGTCAGCATCCCCATAAAGCTCATCTGTGGAAGGAAGCATGAAGTCCAAAATCTCCTGGTAGACGGCTGCATTGACCCTGGACTTAATGAAGCACAGTGAACCAACACCAGCAGATGACATGGCTCCCCAAATCAACACAGACTGTGGAAACTTCACACTGAACTTCAAGCATCTTTCAGTGTGTTCCTCTCCATTTTTTCTCCATACTCTGGGTCCTTGGTTTCCAAATGAGATGCAAAAGTTGCTCTCATCAGAAAAGAGGACTTTGGACCACTGAGCAACAGACCAGGTCTGTTTTTCTTTAGCCCAGGTAAGACGCTTCTGACGTTGTTTGTTGTTCAGGAGCGGCTTGACAAGATCAGTCTGTGTGTGGTGGCTCTTGATGCACTGACTCCAGCCTCAGTCCACTCCTTGTGAAAGTCCCCAACACTTTTGAATGGCCTTTTCCTGACAATCCTCTTCAGGCTGCAGTCATCCCTGCTGCTTGTGCACCTTTTTCTTCCACACTTTTCCCTTCCACATAACTTTCTATTAATGTGCTTTGATACAGCACTTTGGGAACATCCAAATTCTTTTGCAATTACCTTTTGAGGCTTTCCCTCTTTATGGAGGGTGTCAATGATGGTTTTCTGCACAACTGTCAGGTCAGCAGTCTTTCCCATGATTGTGATTCCTACTGAACCAGCCTGAGAGACCATTTAAAGGCTCAGGAACCCTTTGTAGGTGTTATGGCTTAATTAGCTGATTAGAGTGGGACACTTTGAGCCGAGAATATTGCACCTTTTCACAATATTCTCATTTTCTGAGATTGTGGATTTGGGGTTTTCATGAGCTGTAAGCCATAATCATCACAATTATGACAAATCATGGCTTAAATTATCTTACTTGGCATGTAATGAGTCTATCTCATATATTAGTTTCACCTTTTAAGTTGCATTACTGAAATAAATGAATTTTTGCACGATATTCTAATTTTTCGAGTTTCACCAGTATGTTTGATGAGTCTATTGTACCTACTGAGCTGATGCCTTCTGTCACCAGGTTACTTTATATAGCACAGAAATTGATAGCACAAAAATGGATATCGTCCAGCCCTCCCTCCATAACAAAGTGGAAAACTCAGGTTAACAATGTAATCTCCAGAGAACAACTAATATTTCAACACAGAAACTGTATGAGAAAGTTTGAAATTATACGGGGTCCCTGGCTGGAAATACCCAGTTTGGCTCCACTCCATATGATAGCAAATAGATTGTTCTCTCTATAAATATGTGGGGCCCTTGGTTGTATGATGTAACAGCTGGAATTTACAAGTTTGCGGGAAAACAAGTGCAGCTAGATACTATTGGAAGGAGTAATAGACTTGGGTCAACTTGTGCTTGTTTAATAGTTTTATTGTTGTAGGATATATGTTCATATGGTGTATACAAAATACCCCTTTTTTTTCTTTTGTATGTGTGCTATTTACTGTTTACTGTTTTATCTCTGTAAGACCAA